TTGCTTCAAAGAACAAGTATATTTTTGTTACAGCAGTAGGCTTATAGTACTATCAAAGTAGCGGTTACTGTAATTCAAGTACAGTAGTAATAAAATCTTATTGCTTGTAACGTTAAGATCTCGAGCAGTAATGGTCTGTGCATTTGCTACTTTGAAACAAAAATATTGTTATGCAACTCATAGCTGTATAATATTCGTCAATTTAATACGAGCCGAGTTTCTTGTCAGTTCATCTCATCTCGAAATCATTCCGAACTGACGGTAGATTTGACATATCATAAGAGTCGGTAATCTACATGAATGAACATATTTTGAATTTAAAAAGATAAATGTATTCGTATATGCAAGTACCTCGATACCTAATAATAATAATCTTAGGACAATTCACACAGCGCCATCTAGTCCCAACTTAAGCCAGCTAAAGGACAACTGACTTAAATACTTAGATTTTTTTATAAATACATACATAATGTACATAGAAAACACCCAGACCGATACAAGCAATCATAGTCAAGAATACAAATGTTAGTTCAGTGCAAGGAATTGAAACGGCGACCATCGGAAGTAAGGCAGTGTGCCAAACCGCTAAATCACTGAGGCCGTCATGTAGGTTATGACAATAGTGTAAATTACTGTATTGCAATTAATACTACTTACTTACTTACTAATATTATAAATGCGAAAGTGACTGTCTGTCTATCACGCTTTCACGTCAAAACTACTGAACCGCTTAAATGAAATTTGGTACACAGATAGTCTAGATCCTGAGAAAGGACATAGGCTACTTTTTAATGCGAAAAAAGGGTTGTAAGGGGTTGAAAGAGGGGATGAAAGATTGTATGGAAGAATCGTCATTTTTGAAGCTAGAAGCTTGAAACTTATTTTTAAGGCTGCTAATTAAACATAAATAAATATGACATACAGACATATACAAATTACCCACAAGGGGGTTAACTAAATTAGGGGATACATTTTTTATGTTAATTCGTTATTTTTGAAGCTATATATATATGTATACTAGCTGTACCCGCGACTTCGTCCGCGTGGAATTTAACTTTATTTTTCTAAAATAAAAATAGCCTAAGTTACTCCTTATTACATCAGCTACCTGCCAATAAAAGTCCCGTCAAAATCGGTCCAGCCATTTCAGAAATTAGCCGGAACAAACATTTGTTTTGATGTACCGTATTTATATTCATATGCATGTAGTAATTTAAAATTACAAACAGACACTCCAATTTTATTTATATGTATATGTAATATATTATTAATGACACATGTTTACTATTGGATAAAGAATGCAGAGTAGATTATAATAAAAGATACAGTATAATTTCGTTTAAACAGAAATTGCGTGAACATTATTTATATTTGTAAGTTTTTTTTACTGACCTTCTCCTTTTTTCACATCTTTCTGTTATTTCCCTATAATTCTATCTACATTTTCTTTTTTTTCTTACTTTCAATTTGAGGCTGTACTTATAATTTAATTATCGGATCATTATGTATTTATTTATACATAAAATTTGTATATATTTATCTACATGTACATTTTTTATATTTAAATATTTTGATATATATCTTTTTTTGACATTTCTCATTTATATTAGTGCACCGACAATAATCTTTCTCTGCACCACTCATGGTTGCCTGGTAGACAACGCCGCATGGTGTTAAGTCCGCTATATGTACACATTGTTTGTGTGCATTAAAGTTAAATAAATAAATTATAATGATAATAAAAACAGAGTAAATTACTGTACTTCAATTATTAATCTATGTTTTTACACTAAAATATACATATACAGTAGACCCGCGGTAATCCGGCCCCTGTCCTATCCGGCCCCCCTTGTAATCCGACATGGTCTATTATTTATTATTGAATCTTTTTTTGACAATCGTCGCTAATGCATGATTGAACAAGTTTGAACTAGTCTTGTATATGTCACCACTGTTATACTCGACGCGTAGGGTATTGTTTTGATTATGATTGCTTAGTTGAATTTGACTACTTCCATGTGATGAAGATAGTGGTGTTCATTGTTTACTGCCTTTTTTCATTGTGTATTGCCTATCAGTTCAGAAGCGAAAGCACAAAACACTGACAATTCAAGAAAAATGTGATATTTTAGACCACCTAATTCATAACGAATCTTTTAGTAGTTAACATACATAATGAAGTAATATTTGTACTTCAGAGTGCATATACATACATATATAACATAGAACCTTATCACTGGACCTGTAATTTGGCGGATTACAAGGTACTCTTTTGTAAAAAAATCCGGACTATAGGGGACCCCTAGGCCCCCTCTATGATCCGACAAATTCGATTGTGCGAACCCTGCAAAACGATTGTCGTATGACATGGTATAGTCACGTGACTTCTGTACATCAATTGGATGCAAAGCATTCAAGTTACGTCTTTAGTCAAGTATAATTCAACTAGAGCGTTATTTATAGCCAGTTAGAGCTTGAAATCAGAGGTAATACTGTTTTTGCCTAAAAGGATCAGTGTCCGTTTACACGAAAACTAACAGAATTAATGCCCCATTGAGGCTTCGAAGGCAAAAAGTGGTTTGGCAGTGACACGTCGGATTAACGGCCCTTGATGTAAATTGTAGATTGTTTCGAATCGAAACGTGAATTATGTTGTCTGTAACAATAATATATTATTTGACGACCTCAGTGGTCTAGCGGTCTAGTACATCGCTTTACGTCCGGTCGAGGGTTCGATTCCACGCACGGCACATTTGTATTAATTTTTTTTTCGGAATACTCTAATGCTGTTGGCCGCAGCTGGCCTTTACAGCTTCACCTGACGTTAGGGGGCGAGTGCAGATGGCACTTCAAACCCGTGAAAGGACTTATGGAGTGGCTGAAGGCCAACTCCTGCCTGACGGATACGACTTTAGTCTGAGGGCACCACTAGGGGTTCGAACCTCGGCTCAGGCCGTCGTAATTTCGATCCCCGTTTGAATTGGACGGGGGATCGATCGGAGGGGTACTTTGTATTCATGAATGTGATTGTTTGTATCGGTCTGGGTGTTTTCTATGTATAATATGTGATTTATGAAAAAAAAATCTATGTATTTGTATCAGTTGTCTAGTACCCATAACACAAGCTTTAGCTAGCATAATTTGGGTCTAGATGGCGCTAGATTGTTCTGAGATTATTATTATTATTATAAAATTAGTTTCAAAGTTGTAATACAGATAGTATTACATCCTTATTATTTTTTCCAAAATTTTACGGCTCAGTGGACTCCCTAAAATATGGTCGAGCGCAGTGATGGCTGGCTCATCCGTCATACTCATGAACGAGTGCTGCTTGTAGGGACTGGTCTGCTCTAATCACTACGACTGATTAAATCTTACTTAATTACTTAGATATTTAATTGTATATTTGACATTTTGACTCCAATGAATTAATGCTAATTGTGAAAAATTTTTGTGACACGAGAATTTTATATATAAGACTAGTAGTTTCGGCAACGCGATGCTGTGGCTAAGGTTCTTGAATGAAATAATATTGCGACTATAAATTGAGATCATCGCAAACCCTTCGACCCTCCATTACGAGTTTGCGAATCTGATCTATTGGTTGCGAGCTTTTCCCAGCCACGGTGGTCTATGATGCCTGGCTTCAAAGGTTAGCTGAGAGGAGACGGAAGCGCCACCTAGGCGGATCAGGACAGACTACTGCCGATAGTTTCCCTTGTCGGGTCTGTGGTAGGCCATGCCGTTCTCGTATCGTTTATACAGCCATGAAAAAAGCTGTTCACAGACGCCATAAATCGTATATAATAGACGCCATAGGCCATTATATATATATATATATATATTCAAATTCAAATTCAAAAATCATTTATTCATGTAGGACATTTTAGCCGCTTATGAACGTCAAGTTTTTACATTAGAATTTTTTTCCCTACCGTCCAGTTCGGTATATAGATCCAATTGAGAAGAACTGGCAAGAAACTCAATTGAATTACTTTTTTTTTAAATCCAGTTTTTTACAATGCATAGGTTTTTGTATAGGTGTCTATATCTAACATTAAATGAAAATCCCGAACATGAAAACTATTGCCATGCACGCTCGTCATTCAAGTAATCGTTTAGTGAGTAATAGGCCTGGCTCAGTAAATATGATTTAACAGATGTTTTGAATTTATTTAATGGTATATCCTTTGGTATCTTATTGTAAATTTTTATACCTATTCCCATAAAAGATCTATTGACTTTTTCTAAACGATACTTGGGGACAGCAAGTTTGTCTTTAAATCTAGTATTAATATTATGAATATTGCTGTTTTTTGGAAATAAGTCAAGATTTTTATGAACATATAGGATATTTGAATATATAAATTGAGAAGCAACGGTGAGAATATTTGCCTTTTTGAATTTCTCTCTTAATGAGTCACGACTCTTCATACAGTAGATCGCTCGAATGGCACGTTTTTGTAATATGAATATATTTTTAATATCTGCCGCTTTTCCCCATAATAATATTCCATAAGAGAGTAAACTATGAAAATAACTGAAATAGACCAATCTAGCAGTATCAGTATCAGTGTACTGTCTAACCTTACGCACGGCAAAAGCTGCTGAACTCAGTTTCGCTGCAAGACTTTGAATTTGTGCACCACATTATGTTTTATTATCTAATGTGATTCAATAAGCTATCCTATCTTTCAAGTTGGATCAAATTGTACACAATGTGCAAATCAAATTTGCAATCGGTTCAGTAGTTTAGGAGTCCATCGCGGATGTTACAGAACTCTTTAGAGTTGTTAGAATGAATTACTTTTTTATATTTATTTGACATGTGTTTAAAAATGAATTTATCCAGTTGTATATTGTTTTGCCTTTGTACCTTTCTATACCATTCATTATAAAATTAAATAATTTTCTATATATAGTTTTGTTTCGCCATCCTGATACCTAATCCTTCACAAAGTGGCGACCGTGAAGAAATAATCGGTGGAGGTCAATTTATAATGGAGCGGGCAATAAAAGAGAGAAAATTACTAAGAAGGCTATTCACGATCAATGCAAAAAAGCTGGACGATGCATTGGAAAATAGAGAGATTAAAGAAGCCGAAATATATTATGATAATCTCTGTGAGAAACAGACAGCGCTTAATGAAATAGATAATAAAATATGTTCGTTGTGGCTAGATGAAGATAATAGAAACGAAGCAGAATTTGAAGCGGACATAGATACGACAGAGGAATACAAAAATAGATGGTACGCACTAAAGAGAAAATATGCAGAAATAATTCGCGCAGATCGGCAAATAAGTACTTTACATGAAACCGAAAGTTCAGCATCAAATGGGACGGTAAAAAATGCAAAAAATGAACGACGTTACCGTTTACCAATTCTAGAGCTTCCAAGATACAATGGAGATGTCAAGAAATGGATTTTATTCTGGGGCCAATACAAAAAGATTCATAATGACGAGAATATAGACAACGAAGATAAATTTCAGTACCTATTACAATGTATGGAGCCTGGTTCTAGTGCCAGAGAATTAGTGGAGAGCTTTCCACCAAGTGGAGATAATTACTTTAAAGCATTAGAACACCTAAAACAGAGATTTGCTCGGGATGAGTTAATTATAGAACATTACATAAGAGAATTGCTGGATTTGATTTTACGTCAAGCAAAAGGTATGGCTAAAAATTCATTACGAAATTTATATGACAAGCTCATGACTCAAATATTAGGATTAGAGACTCTCGGTGTCACTCAAGATAAGTATGCAGCTATTTTATATCCCATGGTAGAGTCAACTATGCCTGAAGAAGTATTGAGAGCGTGGAACAGATCACAGATGCGATTAGAGAAGATTGAATTGGCTCAATTATTAATTTTTTTACAAAGAGAAGTAGAGTCAGAGGAACGTATCAGTCAAGCATGTTCCAATTTACATAAAGGAGTTAATGATAGTATTATTCCATCAACAGCTTGTTTTACAGTATCGGAGAAGAATGGTAAGAATAAGCCAGAAAACAGAGAGAAATATGTGAGCAATACTTTTAGTGACAATAAGCCATGTTGTATTTGGTGTGATAAAAACAGTCATACAAGTTCGGAGTGTATGAAAGCACAAAAGATGTCATTAGAAGAACGTAGAACACACTTGAAAGAGAAGAATTGCTGTTATATATGTATGAAGAAGGGACACAGTGCTGCCAAATGCAGAGCATATCCCAAATGTTTGATTTGCAGTCGACGACATTTTACTCTAATGTGTAATAATTTACAGAATCCTCTACAACAGTCTAGATCGACGAGTATGACGTCATCAAGTTCGGAAAATAATACAGGGACGACATCGAGTAGCGACAGAGGAGTTGTATTGAGTCAAACATCGGGTTTGTTGTCTAAATGTCAAACTGTCTTATTACCAACACTGAAGGTAAATATTGTTTTTGATAATAATATTGTGTCAGTTAGGACGTTATTGGATTCAGGAGCACAACGTTCTTTTATTAAAAAAGATATTATTGAAAATCTAAAATTAAAACCTAGTAGTACGGAGGTTGTAAAACATAATTTATTTGGTGGCATTACAAGTAAAGAAAGTTGTCGTAGTTTGTACAATTTAAATATTTCAAATATAGACTGTTCATATAGTTTACAAATAGAAGCTTTAGAGGAAAAGGTTATATGTAATTACTTGCCTAAAATTAACGACTTTGAGATTTCAAACAAGCTAAGGAGGCAGGGTATTGTAATAAATGACAATGACAATGTAACAGACATAGGTTTGTTGATAGGAGCAGACATGATAGGCACGTTGCTCATAGGCCGTGTAGTTCAAATTACTGATAAATTAGTTGCTTTAGAAACTAAATTAGGATGGACTGTACAGGGACCTATTCAAGCTACGTCATGTCTTTCTGTCATTAACAGCAATATTATAAATGTATGTCATTGTACTTTTGATATTGCCGATTTATGGAAGTTAGAGACAATGGGTATTTCTGACCCAGAAGTGGTAAAAAAGCGTAATGAAACTGATTTGGAAATATTAGAATATTTTAACAGTACAGTCAGGCTAAATAATTATGATAGGTATGAAGTGAACCTTCCTTGGAAAGATGGTGGATATAAAATGCAGCTTGTGACTAATTATGAAATTGCATTGAAACGATTAAAGTCGACTACTACTAAAATAACTCAATTGGGGATACTCAAGGAATATGATGAAGTTTTTAAAGAATGGTTGCACAGTGGTATAATTGAGAAAGTAAATAATCCGAATTCAAAACAAGGTCATTATCTGCCACATCATGCTGTTATTAAGGAATCCAGTTTAACAACAAAAATTAGACCTGTATTTAATGCATCAGCAACTCAAAAAGGTAGTATTTCTTTGAATAATTGTTTGGAAAAGGGTAATAATTTGATAGAGCTTATACCACCCTTATTGATTAAATTTCGAAAAAATGCTATCGGTATTACGGCTGATATAAAAAAGGCATTTTTACAAATTTCATTAAAACCCGATGATAGAGAGTACTTAAAATTTCTTTGGTGGAAAGACGTCAATAAAACAGATGGAGATATGGTAACGTACCGTCACTGCAGAGTAGTCTTCGGAGTAACGTGTAGTCCCTTCCTTCTTTCAGCAACCATTTTATACCATTTAAATAAGTACGATAACCATACAGCGAACGTACTGAAAAGTGCATTTTATGTCGATAATTGTGTAGTAAGCGTAGATAGTAAAAAAGAGATGGAAACCTTTATAAGCGAGTCAAAGTCAATTATGCTTAAAGGAGGTTTTGAGTTACGATGCTGGGTAACTGGACCACATATGGTAGATAAAAATGTTGAAACTATATCGGTACTAGGTTTAATGTGGGATCCAAAGCGAGATGAGACTTTTTGCAAAATTCCTCAATTCAATTCAGAATATAAAGTAACAATGAGGACTCTTTTGTCATGTACTCATAGTATATTTGATCCCTTGGGATTTTTCTGTGCTGCGACATTATTACCAAGGTTGTTAATTCAAAAGTGTTGGCAGTTAAAACTTAATTGGGATGACGAAGTACCTGATTCTATAGAAAAACCGGCAAAAGAATGGATGAATCAAATAGGTATTTTACAGGACTGTCATTTACCACGCCGTTTGAGTGACACATCATTAAAAAATAGCAACAAATCTTTACATATATTTAGCGACGCTAGCCAATTAGTATTAGCTAAAAACAGAATAACTCCACCAAAACCAACTTTAACTATACCTCGACTTGAGTTACTGTCCGCATTGATGGCAAGCAGACTTGCAGATCAAGTTAAAAAAGCAATGGAATTAGAATCGTGCAAAGAATATTACTGGTCTGACTCTAGTATAGTTTTATCCTGGTTTACTAAAAGTGATTTAAATGTTTATGTACACAATCGGGTAAAAGAAATTAAAGAGAAGACAAACGTAAATAATTGGCACCATATTCCAGGAAATTTCAACCCCGCTGATTTACCTTCGCGTGGCTGTAACCCTCAAAGTTTAATTAATAGTAAATGGTGGAATGGACCGGACTGGTTACTAAAACCAGAGTCAGAATGGCCGTTCTCAGCAATCAACCCAGATATTAATGAGGTAAACAAAGAGATTATTAAGAGGTGTCTTGTGGTTAAGAAACATGAGAACTTTACTGAAAATCTGACATACTTTTCTGATTTCAATAAAATTGTAAGAATGATAGGATGGTGTTATAGATTTGTAAATAATTCAGGAAAGAAGAATAATAAACTACATGGAAATTTAATTGCAGAAGAGTATGAATACGCGGAGATGAAATTATTACATTTAATTCAGAAAGAGACTTTTAACGAGGAATATATAAAAAGATTGAAATTAGAAACATTTAGGGACGGTGAAAATATAGTAAGAGTAAAGACACATGTGACATTGTCTGACGATACTAATAATTTTATAAGACCAATATTACTACCAGGTAAAAATATATTAATAGAACGTCTAGTAAGGCTGAAACATAAAGAAACATTACATGCTGGATCTCAAACTTTAATAAACTGCGTACGAGAACAGTACTGGATTATTGGAATTCGGCGTTTAGTAAAAAGTATTATTAGACATTGCGTTGCATGCAGAAGACATAATTCTCGACCGTACACTGTTCACAGTGCACCTCTTCCGGCCGATCGTGTTCGATGTGGTGCTGCCTTTGAAGCTACAGGAATCGATATGGCGGGACCCTTATATTTAAAATCCGGTGACAAGTGTTGGGTTGTATTGTTCACCTGCGCAACTTATAGGGCTATCCATTTAGAACTATGTACATCTTTATCTACAGAAGATTTTCTGTTGTCACTTAGGAGATTTTTAGCACGTAGAGGTAGAGTACGTACTATTTATAGTGACAATGGAACGAATTTCCGTGGAGCGCACAGTTTATTGAATAAAATCGATTGGGCAGAAATAAGCAAGAAATCTTCCATTCAAAAACTACAATGGAAATTTATACCCCCTAATGCGCCGTGGTGGGGAGGATTTTGGGAGAGACTGATTAAAATGTTAAAAGAGTTATTGCGGAGAATGTTGGGAAAAGCGGCTCTACATTATACAGAATTATTAACTATCTTGACAGAATGCGAAGCTATTTTAAACAATAGACCTCTTACATATATTACGGAAAATACGGAAAATTTGATGCCGTTAACACCTTCTATGTTTATAAATTGTTTATCATACGACGTTTCAGATTTAGATGAAGTAAATACAGAATCATTAAATAATCGTTTAAAATATATTCAGAAATTAAAGAACGATTTTAAAGTGCGTTTTAGGAATGAATATTTAGCTATATTAGCCCAAAAGACACAAAATAACAGAATACAAAAGGGATTACATGTTAAAGTCGGTGATATTGTTCTTATTGAGATCAATGATACGAAGAGAGTTAACTGGCCATTAGCGATTGTGGAAGAATTGTATCCAGGGGTTGATGGTCATGAAAGAGTAGCTCGTCTCAAGACAACATATGGAGAACGCATAAGACCATTACAAAGACTTTATCCTTTGGAAATATCCACAGTAGATCCTATTGCAAAAGAAGCAATAGCGGTACTTCCTAAAACCACAAGATCGGGGCGTGTAATTAAAATTCCGCAAAGATTACTCGTGTAAATAGTTACGTGCCTAACATGTTTGTATTTTCAAAATAAAAATTTATTTAGTTTTGTTTTTAAATGCGCAAGCGCATGTTGCGCGCCGGAGTATGTTACAGAACTCTTTAGAGTTGTTAGAATGAATTACTTTTTTATATTTATTTGACATGTGTTTAAAAATGAATTTATCCAGTTGTATATTGTTTTGCCTTTGTACCTTTCTATACCATTCATTATAAAATTAAATAATTTTCTATATATAGTTTTGTTTCGCCATCCTGATACCTAATCCTTCACAGCGGATAAACAACGTGACACGAAATCATTACATACTATAAAACAAAGTCGCTGTCGCTGTCTGTCACTATGAATGCTTAAATCTTTAAAACTACGCAATGGATTTTGAAGCGGTTTTTTTTAATAGACAGAGTGATTCAATAGGAAGGTTCATATTGAAAATTCAAAATATCTTTATTCATGTAGGTCTATTACAGACAGTCAAATCTACCGTCAGTTCGAAAATATTTCGAGATGAGAAGAACTGACAACAAACTCAGCTCGTATTCTTTTCAAATAAATGTTGTACATGTTTACAATAATACAGATTCATTTTTAAATTCAAATTTGTGAGAATAGAGTGACCACCAGCCTATGCTATTGCAAAAAAATCTAATCAGTGTTCGCAACCTGAACAGACCATTCCCCACCAGCAGCACCCGTTCACGAGTATGAACGTTTATATGTATAATACAAGTACACCCGGGGTGGGCAGTTAGTTTTTACATATAAAGATTTGTTTAGAGGCATCTATAAATTGTATTATGACCCTAAATCTCTAAAAGGTCCTCGACGGAGTTCTCTCAACACTTGTTTGATGAACTGGGGAGGGTTAGGTGATATTTATATTATAGAACTTTGTTTCCCACTTAGTTTCGCTCCGGGGCGGCCATGTTTTGTTTGCAATCACGGTTTCAAGTCGAAATTTTAAACTTCTACCAATATTTTACGGTTTCTTTGGCAGTTCCCTTTGAAGTTCCATTCCGGGTGGGCCCGTCGACGTGGCCTGACTGTTTTGACATCCAAATTAGATTATGCTAATGTTTATCGGCCTCAATTGTCTAGTGGTTTATCACACGGTCTTACTTCCGATGGTCGCGGGTTCGATTCCTCGACCGACACGAACTTTTGTATTTATGAGTATGATTGTTTGTATCGGTCTGGGTGTTTTCTATGTATAATATGTATGTATTTACGAAAGAAAAATCTATGTATTTGTATCAGTTGTCTAGTACCCATAACACAAGCTTTAACTAACTTGGGTCTAGATGGCGCTGTGTGAATTGTCCTGAGATTATATTATTATATTATATACTAGCTGTACCAGCAACTTCAGCCGCGTGGTCCAGCCGTTTCGGAGATTAGTCGGAAGAAACAGACAGACAGACAGACATAAATTGTAAAAAATGTTATTTTGATGTATGTATTATATTCATATGCATGTAGTAATAAACGGTTATTTCAATATTACAAACGGACACTCCAATTTTATTTATATGTATCGATAACTTGAAAATTTCTTGAACAGATAAATAACTAATTTGTTTTTCTATTATTGGAAGGTCACAGGATCGACCTGAATGTTAATTGAAAAAAATACTTCAATTTTGATTTGACGGCCTCGGTTTAGCGGTGTACAACACTGCTTTACTTCGAATGATCGCCGGTTCGATTCCTCGTACGGTACAAACATTTGTATACATGAGTATAATTTTTTTTTATGGATGATAATGGAATGGTGCACCCGCCTGCGCTAACGGTTTACGCTGGCGGGGCACCAGTGGAGGATGATAAGATGAGCATGAGGTCAGGTCAGTTAGCCCATCGTGACAAATTCACCAAGAATTTATCATGATGATTTCCAGGGAGAACCGCGTGGAGGTCAACCCGACATGGTACATCGCTAATAATGAGGTCATTAATCCACATTACTGACAATCTCCTTTCCCCTCTGGCCAACAGCATTAGACCGGTCCGAAAAAAAAATAGTTGTTTTTTATACTTGTATCTATATTTGAAATCCACCAATAAACTTTATATTCACGAGGGTAGTGTTTTGGTTTATAGTACTGTTCAAAATCTACCCTGTACCATCGTAAGCACAGATTATTATATTAGAGTCCGTTAGTTTTCTGTTCCCGCGCTTTGCCTTCCCCTCCCTTACCCAGTACTGAACTGACCGTACAGCGGTCTTGACGCGCGCGCGCATTGTGTTGTGAATTAAAATAAATTAGAACTGTGTTAAACCTACTGTGAAACTGGAAAGCTAGCGAAGATACCTTCGAGACCCTGAAGCCCAAGAAATCCGCAGAACCATACAGGTACGTGACAGACGCTTCCACCTATTTTTCCCTATATATATACATAGTAAATTCCCTAACATTTTGGTAGCAGAGCGTAGTTTGGAAACCTCTGATTACATTTGATCTGGCCCGTTCCGTACCCGCAACACCCTATTAATTGTTTATTCCAAATAATAATCTGTGCTTACGATGGTACAGGGTAGACTTTGAACAAGTACCCTTAGGATCATATAGTTTTAACAACGTCTGTTAACCTCCACATAATTTTATAGGATATAACTGTTTACAGTTTATTTATATTGTTAACCGGGTATTAACACGAATAATTTTATGGTAAACTATCTGTAGCAAACGTTGTTTTGCCTTAAAATAAAAAAAAAATTAGGGGTGGACTACCTCTAACATTTAGGGGGATGAAAAATAGATGTTGGCCGATTCTCAGACCTACTCAATACGCTCACTAAATTTCATGAGAATCGGTCAAGCCGTTTCGGAGGAGTATGGGAACGAAAACTGTGACACAAGAATTTTATATACAAGATAAAGGTAGATTACGTCTTACCATTAATTTAACAAGTAAGTTTATTACATTAACATCGTTGGCTCACACATTTCTAACATCGTAAATGTGATAATGAGTTTGTTAATTTTTTTGTTACCACCAGTTGCTCAGGGGTTAATCTACCCTCTCTCCATGTGGATATTCCCCAAGTAATAAAAAGAAAAAAACTGTGTAATCTTTGCATTTCCGCTAAATTGTAGTTTACGAAAATAGTATTTCTTTTTAAATAACATTCTATATTATCACTTTATTTGTTACAGTGACTTATTAAATATGTTTTATTCATTAAATCTTTATTAGAATTATCATCATCATCTGCTTCTTCCTTATCCCATTTATTTGTGGTCGGCGTAATATCTTTCTCTTCCATTCAACCCTGTTCGCAGTCATCTCGTTATTTACTTCCTTTCTTACCATATCATCTTTCACACAGTCCTTCCATCTCTTTTTCGGCCTTCCTCTGCCCTTATAACCATCCACATTCATATGTAACACCTTCCTTAAAGTATTATCTTCATTCCTACGCATTACATGTCCATACCATGGTAGACCATTACTCTTCAACCTCTCCGACACCGGCGACACCCTCATACTGCCTCTATATTAAAATTAATTGTATATAATAATTAATAATTTATAACTGACTAAATATGTGGAATCAACATTCTTTGTTATCACAACATTTGTGAAAATCAATCTAAATATATATAACTCAAAGGTGACTGACATAGTGATCTATCAACGCACAGCCCAAACCACTGGACGCATCGGGCTGAAATTTGGCATGCAGGTAGATGTTATGACGTAGGCATCCGCTAAGAAAGGATTTTGATTAATTCTAACCCCAAGGGGATAAAATAGGGGATGAAAGTTTGTATGAAACTTTGTCAATTTTAAACCGATTGGGCTGAGACTTTGCATGCATAAAGCTACTATGACGTATGCATCCCCGAAGAAAGGATTTTGATAAATTCACGCGAGCGAAGCCGCGGGCAAAAGCTAGTTATTAAATATGTTTATTCTATTAAAACAGTATTAAAATGAATTGTATGTAATAAGTAATTATTTATAACATAATAAATTTCTGTTTGTTTACAATAAAGAGATATATAATCGCGTGAAGGCTTCATTTCAATATTAAATAGTTTACAAATTTACACAAAAACAGAATGTTAAATGAAACAGACCTTAACATTGTTAGAAACAAAATGTAAAATATACGCAAATATTATTGGAAAAAGTTTGTGAGGCATAGATAAACTCGTTTGCTTCGTCTGTACGCCACAAAGCGGGGGCGTAATTTTGTTTCGGATCAATTTTATTCTGTTCATAGAGCAGTTGGATTTGTTTGCACGGTATTATATGCTTCAACATCTCTAAATCTGATTTTTATATAATACTGACTGTCCCGGCAAACGGCTGTTTTGCCATATAAATTAATAAAGCTATAAAAAATAGGGGTTGATGATAGAAGGGTGAAAATTTAGGATTGTATGTATTTTTGTATGTTGTATCATAAAAATATAAAAACTAAAAATGTTGTCTAAAAAGTAAAAAAAAAAAAAATTTGGGGTGGACTACCCCTAACATTTAGGGGATGAAAAATAGATGTTGGCCGATTCTCAGACCTACTCAATACGCTCACAAAATTTCATGAGAATCGGTCAAGCCGTTTCGGAGGAGTATGGGAACGAAAACTGTGACACGAGAATTTTATATAAAAGATTTATTTACATAGATAGGATGTGCTCTTAATTAATTATAGATTTTGCCCGCGAAGAATTGCCAGCGGCTTCGCTCACGTTAATTTATCCCCTTAAGGGTGGAATTTATCAAAATCCTTTCTTAGGAGATGACATAGTAGCTTTATGCATGCAAAGTCTCAGCCCGATCTGTTTAAACATATGACAAAGTTTCATATAAACTTTCATCCCCTATTTTATCCCTTTGGGGGTAGAATTAAACAAAATCCTTTCTTAGCGGATGCCTACATCATAACATCTACCTGCATGCCAAATTTCAGCCCGATACGTCCAGTGGTTTGGGCTGTGCGTTGATAGATCACTATGTCAGTCACCTTTGAGTTATATATATATT